TCCTCCAATCAATAAGGAAGAATGATGTCGTCAAAGTCAATCTAACATCCTGAACTCCACTAAAACATCCTACTTTTCTAGGGAAGTATATATATATATATGTTTTGCCATTGGATTAAAATCTGAAACCTTCCCCTTGACAAATGGGACAAAGAGACGTTGAGGTATATTGGGTGATTCTTGCCGAGGATACATCGAAACCACCAAGAAAACTCTATCCCGGATAGACCTAATGGAGGCCACCATTAGAGTAAAAGATAATCCTTTCGGTTTTATCCCATTAGAGGTACAGATCCCCACAACAACATCACAGCAGCTTTCGGTCCTGATCGATCCTTTTTACAAGCCTTAATTCTTTCTGGGCTTTTCAACCGGAATCCATCGTAATCTGCCTCCACAACGCTCTAGGGAGCCAATCTGATTGTCTGATGGGACCGTACCCTTTGGTTTCACAAAATGGGAAAGAAATCAGCCCCTTCGTTGAAAGCACTCTGCACCACACCTTACCTAGTACCTCTGTGACACTCGTGGGCCCCACTTCCTGTCTTCCCCTGCGACAGCTCTTGACCCATCAACTCACTTCACAAAAATAGCCCTTTGAGACTTGTCCCTCCCATTGTGACCCGTCATACACCCCTTTCTCCTCCTACTCTCCCCTCCCCTAGCGCTAACCATCTTCATCGGTCTCGCTAACTGCGCCTGCTAAACCATCTAACACAGCCCCCTCCCCATCCAACCTTTCACCATTTCTCCTTCCCCTTTCTCCTGTGCAACAAACTTACCCTCTCTCATTTCTCTGCCCGACCATCTCTCCCCCATTGCTCCTCTCCCTGACCCCACCTTTCTCCCTGAAAGCCCTAAAATAGTGTTTAATATCTTTGAGACAAGTACATTCCTCATTCCAGGAATAAAACACTCCACCAATCCACCAAACTCCAATATTCTCTCTGATTATGACCACTGCCAGTGTTTTAAAAATCATTTGAGGCTTAAGCCTTGAGGAGCACATTGAGGCGAGTTGGACTTGAGGTGCCTCAAGGCTTATGCCCATGACACATAAAATGAGGCTTATGCCTTTAAATATGGAGGCGTAAGCCGCTTTGCTTATGCCTCTGAGGCTTGAAAGGCATAAGCCTCAACCTCCAGGGCAATTATACTAAAAAACACAATTGATGCGGTGGCTTTTGGCCGTATTTGGCTTATTTAATGCCAACTATCCATTCCTTTATTTATTACTTGCTTATTGGAGTGTTTTACAGTGGTAGCAAGCAAGCAACTTTTTTTTTTCTTTTTTTGTTCTAGCTTTTCTTTTTTTCCTATATGTGATGTCACTGTCGGCTAACCCAACCTCATTTCTATTGTTATATGGTCTTACAAAAATTTCAACGAATATTACACCAAAATATTCTACAAATTTCCTAATTTGGTTAATTATTGTTTTCCGTTCTAACTTCTAATAACTTCGAATAAAAATAATTGATGTGTTCTTTCAAGTTTTTCCTTTCTCCATATTTTTCCTATTTGTTTTTTAATATTTTCCGTATTCTTTTTTACTTTCCTAAATTTTTAGAATTAATTAATTTTTAGTTCTAATAAACAAAAATGATGTATTTCATACTTCTATATGAACACTAACATATTAATAATACAATGTTCTACATTTCTGTGACTTTTCCTATTTGAGATGAGGCTTACGCCTCACACCGCCTCAAGGCTTACGCCTCGTCTCTTCGTGAGAAAAAGCCTCGAAGCCGCCTTAGGCTTTTTAAAACATTGACCACTGCCTGGCCTCTCTCTTCTGAACCCCCTCCCCTGCCTCCCCCATTCGCATCTTAGATAGCATTTCACATCATCAGCCCAACTGCCCCCACCCCCCCCCAAACACTGTTCAACCCAACATTCACCCTTCTAAAAGCCTTCAATTGGTTGTCTTGTGGCTGTATACTATGGGAATGGGTATCTCCCCCTTGCCTACAAAAATCACTAAGAAAAGGCTTACCCTTCGGAAGGAACACAAATGGAAAAGGGAGCTTGCGGGCCTCACATCCTCCATCAACTATGATAAACAGCACAGGCAAATGACATGTGGGCCGTCCATTTCTAGATCATCATCGTTTCTTTGGAATGTCCAGGGTCTAGGCTCATGGGATAAAAGAGTCCTTATCAAGAATCTCATCCTTAAACAGAATCCTACCATTGTTATTCTCCAAGAAACAAAGTTGGAGAAGACTGATCGTCTCATTATCAAGTCCCTATGGCGCTATCAACTAGACTTCCTTGGACGCATTGGATTCATCAGGGGGTATTCTCATTATGTGGAATGACCCATCTCTACATGTTTCCAGCATCACTACAGGCCTTTTTACTTTGACTCTCCTTATTACTCTCCTTGACGGCTTTAATTGATGGCTTACAGGAGTTTACGGTCCTTGGCATTCTGCAGAAAAACCATTATTCAGAAGGGAGCTGCTGGATCTTTCTTACCTTTGCTCTAACCATTGGCTCTTGGGGGGAGACTTCAACACTATCCGGTCCACTGAAAAGTCCAACTATCGAAGACCCAACAAGAACATGCACAGCTTCAATGATTTCATTGATAATGCATCCCTTCAGGATATACCCCTCTCCAATAGGCTCTGCGCTTGGTCTGATTTCAGGCATTCACCAACTCTCACCCTAATTGACAAATTTCTTGCTACATGATTTTCTCCTCAAATTTCAGAATGTCATTGTCAAACGGTTGAATCGCCCAACATCAAACCATTACCCCATCCTTCTTTCTTTTGGCATGACTAAATGGGATCCCACCCCGTTTCGATTCGAGAATATGTGAATGCAACACCACTCCTTGTCTTTGGTCGAATATTGGTGGTCCAACACACCTCTTAGAGGTTGGCCAGGACACAGGTTTATACCGAAATTAAAAGGGCTGAAATTTGTCCTCAAAAGCATGGAACAAGTAGACTTCTGGCAACATTAACCTCCAAAAGAACCAGCTTCTACCAAAGCTATCCATCTTGGATAGTTTGGAGGAGGAAGGTTTGCAAATTTCACAGAGGAGAGCTATTAAGGCACAGCTCCTAACAGTGGTGGCCAATGAAGAAGTTCTTTGGAGGCAACATTGTAAATCCAGATGGTTAAAAGAAAGGGATCTCAACACATCCTTTTTCCATTGTATTGTGGCTGCAAAGAGGCATAAGAGTATTATCTCAAAAATCCAACGATGTTAAGAGCGCTCTTAATGAAAGAGATTGAGTACGAATCCATTTCCCTTTTTTACAGCTCATACACCAAAAATGAAAGCACCCGTTTTCACCCTCACCCCTAGAATGGGACTCGATTTCACCTCACAGAGCATAGAGCTAGAAAGTTCTTTCATAGAGGAAGACATTTGGTGGACAGTCAAATATTTGGGGTCGCATAAATCCCCTCGACCAGATGGTTTCCCAATAGAGTTCTATAAAAAGTTTTGGAACATTCTCAAGGCCGACATCATGAGGCTGTTCCTAAATTTTTTTAAGACTGAAATCATCAATGCTAGCCTCAACGAAACCTATGTTAGTCTTATCCCAAGAAGATTAATGCAAGATATGTTGAGGATTTTCGTCCTATTAGCCTCAATTCGTGTCTATACAAGATTATTGCAAGAGTCCTCTTCGAAAGATTATGTTAGAACCCAAAATATATTGAAAGTTATAAAAGATAAACGAACTACAATAGCTACCAAGTATTAGAGGTACTTGGACCCTCCCCTCTTGAGATATCACTCAAGCCTCAAACATACTCACTAAATTGGATCCTTCATTCTTACACCCCCATTCTATTTATAACAACACCCCCTAACAACTTTCTCATCTAATTACTAAGGTACCCTCAATACTCTAATAATATCCCTTTATTATCCTAAGGGTCATTCCTATCGGATTAAAAAGTGTGCTGTCACTAACTATTACTAATGAGCAGTTGTCGGGCGACAAATCCTTGATGCTTCTCTCATTGCAAATGAGATCATAGAGGATTGGGACACAAGGTGGACTCCTCACCACGACTTTATGAAGCCATATGGTAAGACTCTTATCCAAAAAGGGTAAAATTCTTTTAATGGGAGTATAGACACCAAGCCATTAATAACAATATAAGCTCCAAAGACGGCTGCCTTTTCTGTCTATATCCCCACAATGGTGCAGGATATGCAAAACCAGCTCGGAAACATAGCTGCACTCCTGCCTGGTTGCATCTGGGTGGTCCAATGCTCTACCATCAGACCACCCTATTCTTTTGGAAGCCACCCTCGTCGGCCACCCTTTCAAAAAAGAGAAGAAGCTGCTTTGGATGAATTTAATCCGATCATTTTCTTGGATCACTTGGAGAGAAAGGAACCACAGAACTTTCAAAGATAAAGACCTACCTATTGAGGAGCTTTTTGACGCTATAGTGTATTTAGTTATCACTTGGTGTAAATGTTCCCCATTGTTTAGTCACTATAGCCACACATCCCTTCTAATTGGGTGTAAATGTTCCCCATTGTTTAGTCACTATAGCCACACATCCCTTCTAGCCAATTAGAAGTGCTTCATGCAACCCTTACATAGGCCTTTTGTAAAAAAGGAAACTTTCAAGAGCTTTAAATCTGTAAAACGACCACGTCCATGCTAACCTTGGAGTTGATGATGATCCCAAAAAGATTCCAGTGCAGGCGGGGGGAATTTTTGCACTTGGTCACATAATTTCAAATTTAGAAGGAGGCGACAATTTGAAATAGGACCACTACATGAAGACCTAATCCTCCAGGAGGGGAAAAAAGGAAAATAACTGTTCTTTTTGTAAGTTGTGTCTGCTAAAAAAGGAATTATACAAAACTCTACCTACAAGCAAACCCCTAAATGTGCACAATAATGCTGATAATATCAGAAGTTATTAAAGCCCGTGGAGACATGTTGATCTCTATAATGCTCAAGCTCAACATCTCCAATTTCTATCTTTCTCATGCTGCATTCCAACAAACACCCAAATGGTGGCTAATGTCAACCTTTCACAAAATGTCTAGCTTAATGAATATAATATTCCCAACATCCCAGCCAAAAGTCCTTGCACCATAAATTGGCTTAAAAACAAACAATAAACTGGTAAAAAATCTATATAAATTTCTGTTATAAAATACGCAATTAAACAATGCGATGTTGTGAAAGTAGGCAATTGAATTACAAGGATTTATGTGGATATCGAAACTGAAATTGGGAAAGTAGGGAGAAAGAGGGAACCTTATGGAAGGAATAGTGAGTGAAGGAAAGGCAGAGGTGATGGGTAATACGGCGGCGGAGGAGGCGGCCGAGACGGAGAGAAGCGGCGGTTGCAAAGAGATCAACGGGGGTGGGTTCCAGGTATAAAGGAAAGCCCAAAGGTGTGGCGCCATAATTTGCCACCATTCTCCACTCTTCTTGCTCTCTATACGTGTCAGGTTTCTCTCTGCGTTTCAAATTTGTAAAAATGTGCAAAATATTCTCTTATTTCCTGCTCGCCTAACTTGTTATTTTTGTGCTAAATTTTTTTTTTTTTTCGGGAGGACAAAATATGGATTTCAAACTCCTTTTTTATCTCTTTCTTCTCACATTTCGTCCCTCAATGCTCGTTTGACACCCGGAGTCGACAAAAAAGTGATTTCAAAATTCGTTTTCTATTTTTGATTTTTTGTTTTTAAAAATAAAAACCATTCAATTTTCTGTTTTTTATTTTTTTAAAATCATTTTAAAATTCTATGTAAACTAAAAAAGGATAGTTTTCATAAACAAATTTCCGTTTCCAAAATCTTTTTTTTATGATACTCTGACTTTTTTCTTTAACATATTTATCTCTAACAAATATTTTTCTCACTCTAAAATTTTTTCTTCGTAAATATCTCCTAAAAATTTATTTCTCTTTTTAAAATTTTAATATTTTAAATATTTATTATTATTTTTCTTTCTCTCCAAATTTTTCATCTTTATATTTTTTTTATTTTTGTTTTAATAGATAATTTTCATTTCTCTAAAAATTTAATATTTTCCCTAAATTTTATCTCTTTAAAATTTCGCCTTTTATAAATTTCGTCTCTCCCTAATCTATTTTTTTTTCAAAAAATTATATGTTCTTTTCTGGTTCAATTTTCTTTCACTGTAACTTTTATTTTTCTTTGTGTTCATTTACTTTCTCTAATAAGTATATTTAGAATCTTATTTTTATCTCTAAATTTTTTCTTACTATCATGGTTCTTTTTATTTCTAATTTTTTTTCTTTTAACATATCTTTTTCTCTCAAGTTTACTCTTCCTCTCTAAAATTTTTCACTTTTTGTCTTTTAACTTTTTTTCACTAATTATTTTTTTTCTAAATCTTTTTCTTTGTCACTCTAAAATTTCTCTTTCAAAATTTTATCTCTATCTCTCTAAACTTGTATTTTCATGTCTCTAATATGATAAAATTTCGGGTCCCCGCTCCAAGAATAGGAAATTTATGTCCTGATCCGATCCCTGATTCCATTTTTTAAATAATTAATACATATTTTATTGACATATCTACTAATTGTGAATAGAATATTAAATATACCAGTAAATAATTATTAAAACAAATTATTTATACTAGTAAATAATTATTCTAAAAATAATTAATACATATTTTTAAAACTTTTTTATTTTTTAAATTCTAAAAAACTTAAAATTAATTAAAAAACCAATAATTTTTCCCACGAATATCCTCATCTCCAAATAAGGATTCTTTAACCTGGATCTTGATTCCCGAACCGAAGAAAAAATAGGAGACGAGGACTAAAATTTTTCACGAGCACGAAAAATGGGAAATCCCCCCACCCCACAGTATTGTCATCTCTGTTTTACATATAATTTTGACGGGTTTCAAATGAATTCCTCTGTTTGGCACTGCATGATTTTGACGGATTTGAAATCTTATCGAATTTTAAATCCATTTTTTATGTAAAAAATTTTCGAATCAAAATGGTCATATTTTGAAGGATTTCATATAATTTCAAAGTAAATTACCAATTTAACATTGTCATATTTTAATTTCTAAATAATAAATTTAGACTAACATCTCAGTGAAATTTTTATTTTCTTTTCATTTCCAGCCAACATCCAAACAAAGAAATTTAATTTATTTCATTTCAAATCACTCTCATACCAAACAAGATAAGGAATTTAAAATCATTTCTTGGATTTAAAATTACGGAATTAAAATCATTTCTTAAACTTTCTTGACGTCAAACAAAGGGTTAAAAACATAAAACTAAAAATGATTCTCAAACATGTTTGGTTTTCTATTTTTTAAAAATAAAAAACAAAAAACAGTTATCAAACATATATGGTTTTTGTTTTTTTAAAGTAGAAAACTAAAAACTAAAAACCAAAAACATAAATGATTATCAAACCGCCCTATAATTTTAAACAATGGAGATAATTTTGAATTACTAGTTGCATTTTGGAACCAAATTGATTTTAAATCATTAAAATTAAAATTTATTGTTTGGATGTTCACAAGAAATGAAATAAAATATGATATTTTACTATTATGTCATCGCAAGATATTATATTATTAATATAATAATTTTTTAATATCAGAAGAACAAGGAACCAAAAAACGTAAAATCAGAGAATGAATCATGATAAATTGAAGTAGGGAAAATTGTTAAGAAAAAAAGCAGCAATACACCAAAGAAATGTACAAGAGTGGAAGAAACAACAACGAAAATAGAGTGTGTAAGTTTCTGAAACTCTAAATGTAACCATCGAAAAAAATATAAATATATATATTTAAATTATTATTTTTATTCCGTTGTTTTCTTTATTCTCTCAAAAAATATAAATTTTTGTTTTAAAAATTATTTTTTTAAAGATAATTTGTTCTTAGAACTTAAAAAAAAAATAAAAAGAAAGAGTTTTATTAAACTTTTATCTTTTTATTATCCTTTTTAAATAAGGATTCATTAGGGTTTGTTATAAAAGCTCTTAACCTAGGTTTTATTTTCTTAAAACCGTTAGACCTAGTTTTCTCACAAAGAGAAAAAGAAAAGAAAAGAATAAGAGTTTTGGTATTTTCTCTCAAAGATCGGTAAGATTTTCTTCCTCATTGTTTTAGTTTATTTTTCTTGATTTGTAGTTCTTTAATTCAGTTTA